TAATACCAGAATACATTCAAACGATATGAAATCAGTATGTCAAAGAGACATCTGCTCTCCCATGTTCACTGCAATATTACTCACAATAGCCATGGTATGGAATTAATAAGTGTCTAAATGGATGAACATAAAAAGAAAATATGGTCATATGTACAAAATTGAACACTATTTAGCTGATTTTTAATTTAAAAAGGTTATGTTTCTTAACTGATTGCTGCTTAGTGGGTTATTTCCCATCATAGAAGCTTGATAAGAGTGGAGTGAAAATGAATGGCAAATGATTCTACAGAAGTGACTGGATTTCAGAATGTTGTCAGCCCTAAGTCATTCTTTAAAAACCAAAATGAAGCAAAACATTGTTGGGATGATTGGACAACAATGTGAATGTATTAATCCATTGAGTTGTACACTTAAAATGGCTAAAAAAAAAAAACAACTATACAAGTCTGTAGAAATGAAGCCATTTCAAGCAAAGCATAATGAATACCGTAGAGACCAAAGTGGGAGATCCAGCAGGCTTTGTTCAGTTTGACTATGGAAGTTGGGCAAGAAGCAATGGAGACCTCACCCTAGAGGCACTTGTGCTGCTGACAGTGGACATGAATATATTTTGCTAAAATATAAATCATATGTTTCCTCTTTCTTTGACTGTTTTTTTAGTATGAGGTTGGAACATAGAAATAAGGCATAAGATTCAGGGCCATCACTGGAGAAATGGGCTCCTACTCTGTGCTTCTAAGATGTTTGGAAAAAGAGTACAGATGCTTTTTACTAAATTTCAAAACAAAGATCTGAGATTAGTCCCTTAACACAACAGAAGCTGTTTGGATGGCCTTTATACCTGATTTTCTATTGTGCCTGTTACCTCATTAGTTGACTGGGCTGGGTGAAGGTCCAGGAACATTGGTTCTAGCAACAAAAATACCAGGAGTGTTTCCAGAATAGATCCAGCAAGATATACCAAGGATCCCCCTGTCTATCCACTAACATATCTAGATACACACACCAGATATGTGTAATGGGTCCAAAGAGCAAAATCATGGACATTAGGAAACGGAACCAGCAGCAATAGAAACATCATAATGAAGTTGGATTCTAAAACCAATATATCTCATTTCCCTTGGATTTTTTCTATTATTATTTGTCTCTATTGTTTAAAGATAGCTGCCAAATCATGTCAATGACATTGTTTATTTTTAAGATCTCCCACTATGTACAGTGACACATGTATGGAATCCCAGTGACTCTGGAGGCTAAAGCAGGAGGATCGCAAGTTCAAGGCCAGCCTTAGTAACTCAGAGAAACCCTCAACAATGTAGCCAGACCATGTCTGAAAATAAAAATAAATAAGTAAATAAAATAGAAAGGACAGAGAACATAGCTAAGTGGGAATGTGCTTTTGGGTTCAATCTCCAGTACCCCTCCCCACCCCACCCCATCTCCACCCCCCAAAAAACCATGCTTGTACTTATTTCTTTAAATTCTTTTAAATTTCCATCTCTTGAGCTTCAAATATTTCATCCTCTCTCAATTTTGAGGTTTAGTGAATGAGTCCTTTGTAATTGTATAAAATTTTTTCATATACTATAGCTAAACTCACTTTGGAGGTAAATTCCTTAAGATGCTCAACATTGTCAACTATGTCATCAGTGATTAAAAATTTTTTATTTCTTTTCAAATTTACATGAATTTTATTTCTTTTTCTAGTCTTATTGCAATGGACTGGACCTCCAATACAAAGTTGTTCTGAAGTGAGGATAACAAGCCTTCTAGTCTTGTTACAAAGACTAAAATGAAAGTATCTAATCTTTCATTGTTAAGTATGATATTGGTTGCAAATTTGTTATAGGTGCCCATTTATCACATTGAGAATGTTTTCTTCTACACTTGGTTTGATGAGAGAGTTTTTAAATTATTGAGTAGGTGTTGGATTTTGTCAAATATTTTTCCTATTGAGATGATCATTTTTTTCTATTTTAGTATTTTGTGAAATGAATTATACTGATTAATTTACAAATGTTAAACCAATACTACATTCCTAGGATACACCCCGCATGATCATGATGTGATTATCATTTTTGTATGGAGCTAGATTAGATGTGTTTGATTTTTTAAGAAGTTTTGAGTCTGTATTTATATAGTTTTCTTTGAATTTCTGTGATGTTTTAGCATCACAGTAATAAATTTCTAAATGTTTTTCCTTCTTTTGTTTTTCGAAGACTTTATGTAGAGCTATCACTATTTCTTCTGTGTTTGATAGTGTTCACCAATTTAACAGATGTAGGTTTCAATTTTTCTTTATAAAACTTTCTTTATATAGTTTTTTAAAATATGAATTTAATTCTTTAATTATATAAGATTAGCAAGCATGTTTATTTCTTCTTAAGAGAGTTTATTAGTTTCTCTTTCAAGAAATTTGTCCATTTCATGAAAGTTATCAAATTTATTTTGTACAAAATAAGCTAATAAGTTTTAAAGCTGTGGTATCTGTAGAGATATTTTCTCTCTTATTCATGCTGTTGGTAGTTTTCTTTTTTATCCCTCTTTTTAATCATTGGAAAGTATGAATGCAGAAGAATTTCTCAGAGTTAGCAATTTTGACAATTTGGTCAAATAATTTGGGGAACCGATCTGTGCATTTTAGGATATTGAACAGTATCCCTAGTCTTAACTATTAGAGGACAGTAGCAACTACTTTCCCTCCATTTACGTCTATCAAAAATGTCTGCAGATATTGCTAAATGACCTCTGGAGTATATAAAATTTGTCTTGATTAAAAACCATTGGGCTAGAGTTTATAGATTTTTGTTTTATTAATTTTTAAAATTTACCTTCTGTTTTTATGTATTTCCTTGCTTCTCATCTTTCCTTATCTTTACCATTATTTATTTAGTCTAGGTTTAGTTTTTATACTTTCATTGGTTCAAATTCACTTTACCTATTTATTTATTTATTTATTTCTAATGGAAGAATTCAGTATTTTATACTTTTCTTTTGGCTATGGTTTACCTCATAAATGTTATATATTGTGTTTTCATTTTCATCCAGTTCAAATTATTTTGTGATTTCCCCTTTTTTAGAAAATAAGTCTTGCTTTATTTATTTGTTTATTCTAATTTATTATACATGACAGCAGAATGCATTCAATTCATATTAGACATATAGAGCATAATTTTGGTTGTACACAAAGCAGAGTCACACCATTCAAGTCATTACTCCAAGTACATGTTTGATTTCCCTTTTGATAGCTTCTTTTACTCAGAATTTATGACAAATGTGTTTTTTAATTTACAAATATTTGAGGGCATTGTCAGATATCTTTCTGTTACTGACTTCTGATTTAAATTCATTGTGACAGCTGTAGGTTGATGATTTCAATTTTTTAAGTTATTGAAAACATTTTAATCCACAAATACAGTCTAACTTGGTGAATGTTTCATGTATAGACTCAAAAAACTAAATGTCAAAAAAACCCAAATAACCCAATCAATAAATGGGCTAAGGAGCTGAACAGACACTTCACAGAAGAAGAAATACAATTAACCAACAAATATCTGAAAAAAAGTGTTCAACATTTCTAGCAATTAGAGAAATGCAAATCATCACTACTCTAAGATTTCATCTCACTCCTATCAGGTTGGCAATAATCAAGAATATAGGCAACAATAAATGTTGACGAGGAGGTGGTGAAAAAGACACACTCATACATTGCTGGTGGGACTGCAAATTGGTGCAACCACTAAGGAAAGCAGTATGGAGATTCCTCAGAAAATTGGGAATGGAACCACCATTTGACCCAGCTATCCCACTCCTTGGTTTATACCCAAAGACTTAAAATCAGCATACTATAGTGACATAGCCACATCAATGTTTATAGCAGCTCAATTCACAATAGCTAGAGTATAGAACCAACCTAGGTGTCCCTCAATAGATGAATGGATAAAGAAAATGGATAAAGAAAATCAATGGATATTACTCAGCTTTAAAGAAGAGTAAAATTGTGGCATTTGCCAGTAAATCGTTGGAGTTGAAAAATGTCATGCTAAGCAAAATAAGCCAATCCCACAAAATCAAAGGCTGAATGTTTTCTCTAATAGGCAGATGCTAATTCACAATAAGGCCAGGGGCACTAGGGAAGAATAGCATTACCTCAGATTAGGTAGCGTTAGTAATGGGAGGGAAGGGGAAGAGATGTGGGAATGGGAAAGATAGTAGAATAAAACAGACATTATTATTGTATGGATATTATGTGACTGCATGACCAATATGGTTCTACAACATGTACACTCAGAAAAATAAGAAATTTTATCCCATCTATGTATGATATATCAAAGTACATAAATGTATTCTACTGTCATATATAACTAATCAAATTAAAATTTTTTAAAATAAATTTTAAAAAACTTGTATTCCATTGGTGTTTGATGGAGTATTATACAAATATCAGTAAAGTAAATTTGGCTCTTTTCTTAAAGTCCTTCTTTGCACTTGACAAATTTCTGTTTATTTGTTATTTGCTTATTTCTTCTATCAAATAACAAGGCAGAATTGTTAAAGTTTCTGTAGAATTGGGGACTTAACTATTTCTCCTTCTAGTTCTATCAGTTTTCACTTTGTGCATTTAAAAATTGTGCTATTACATGTACACACTTAACTTTCCATCTTGATGATATTTCTGGTTCTGAAGTCACTTTTTAAAAATTTAATAGAGCCAGTCCCTGTTTTTATAATTAGGTTAGCATGCTATAGCATTTCCCCATCTTTTTACTTTTAAGCTGTTTGTGCCTTTATATTTTTAAGTGGATTTCTTCTATCAAGCATCTAGTTACATTTTGCTTTTTTTTTTAATTAAAACTGGTAATATGTGCATTTTAATTGGGGTATTTGGAACAGCAATGCAAACTATGAACTTTGTCTTTACTTGTTGCATGGGGAAACAGAAACCTGTTTATTTCTTTGAGTCTTGGCTGTGCTGTTTGGAGCCTGCCCAGTGAACAAGCAGTGCATTGATCAGCCACCAATTTGCACAGAACTTCTGTGCAGCATTTAGAGCTTCTGTTCTATGGCTTCCCTTTGACTTCCTGTTCACTTTCTAGCAGCTATGGTCCTCTTTAAATTTGATGCTTCAAGCCAGCAAGACTGTGAACTTTACAGCTAAGTTTTAGCCAGCCATCCGGAAATGTACTGGGATCTATTTTCAGGTAAAAAGTTGAGAAAAAAATTAGAAACTTACCCCATGACATTTCTTCCTTATAGTTTCTACTGGTTTTCTTTGTTCCCAAGTGCCTTAAAGTATTTGTTTTGTTTTCCCCAGAGTTTGGTAGTTGTTATTTAAAGGATATTTGGTAGAACAGAAGCAACTTATCCATTACCAGAAGGTAGATTCCCAATTGCTCTAACTTGGATTCTCTTAATATTAATATAAAATACCTTATATCTGTCCATCAATCATGTTTCTGTTCATTCTCACAAACAAGATCTTTCAGAAGTCCGCTACCCTCTTAACTACCCCAGATGACCTAGTACCGTGACCAAATATGAATATTCTGCTACGGAATATCTCCTACAAATTATTTACTAATTCACTGAGTCTTTACAGTCTTTATTAGCCAGTTTCTCTTTGGAAAAGAGTTCATTTATCTATCCCCTCTGTTTGCTGTCTCTAAGCATTTTATTAGATAAAATAGTCTCTCTATTGTAATATGGCCAGATTTTGAGGAAAACTTGAGTGGAAATTTGTCAAAAGTCTTTTGGAAATTTGTATTAGGGTATATCAACTTATTATTCATTCTAGTAATTTTATTATTGCCTTAAGGAGTGAAAAGAAAACATGCTACTTTCAAAAGAACTCTGATTTACTCATGGTTGTTTATCTTTAAGAATTTAATAGTCCAATCATTTGATAATTATAACCTTGTATCAGCTTCTCTGGAATAAGAATTAGGCATAATGATTCAAAGTCCTCAGAGTCTCCCTGAATTTTTTTTTTCCCTACTGAGATTACATATTCACTCTTCTAGTCTTCTGCCATGGAGCTAATGGCAAGTCAGATTCTATAATTTGGCCCCATATCCGTGATTTCATACTTAAGTTACTTTAAGAGTATCACTTGACTTGGTGATTTAAACTGCCTTTATTTGGCTAATAATAACAGATAATATTTTATGCATTTACTACATGCCAGACAATGTTCTAAATGTATGGAACTAAACATTTTTATTCTTAGTAAATCTTTAAAACAAGCTTTCTCGGCCCATTATTTAAGATAAAATAAAAAGTTCTTTAAATAAAACAGATTCTTTAAAGTGTCATAAGTAGGGACACTTTTAAAAGTGGAAAAAATGGTAAAGATAGAAATTCTGAAGGTTCCAGCAGAGATATATTAGCATATCATGTGATGCTAAATAATATTCTATTAGTATAGCTTCCTTGGTTTGTTTTATTAATGGTTGAATAAAGCAATCAGTTGGGGGGAAGGAGTCACTGGACCACTGAGCCACATCCCAACCCTATTTTGTATTTTATTTAGAGACAGGGTCTCACTGAGCTGCTTAGCACCTCGCTTTTGCTGAGGCTGGCTTTGAACTCACAATCCCCCTGCCTCAGCCTCCCAATCCACTAGGATTACAGGTATGTATCATCACACCCAGCTAAAGCAGTCATTTTATAATAATTTTCTTCATGTTTCTGGCTTGATTCATTTTTTCCACATTTTCTCTCTTTCTTTTCTATTTTGGGTTATAATATTTTTTGATCTAATACACAACCAGAGATATGAAAAATTATGCTCTATATGTGTAATAAGAATTGTAATGCATTCCACTGTCATATATATAAATAAAAAATAAATAAATTTTTAAAAAATAAAATAAATAAATAATTTTAAAAATTAATTTAAAAAAGAAAAAAATCAATCATTTGATAACAGAAAATATTATTGATCTAGCATTCAGTTTTCAGTATCCCCTTGGGTCAGTTTTCTTAAAATATCTTTATTTTTAACTCTTACGTTTGCTCAGACGATACTTCTCCCCCATCATTGTCTTTTTGACAAGACTATTTTACTCTTTCCATTCTTCTGCTTTGAACTTCTTAGTCTGTCCTGATTTGCTTTTGTTCTTTCTTTTTTTAATTTTAATTTTAATTAAATATTTAAAAACTGGTATTTGATTCAATTATTGTAAAACATGCCTATTTGGAACATGTCTATACATTTCACAATGATAATGAACCACTTTGTAAAAAAGTTCTTATTTGAGTGTAGAAAAATATCATTTCTCACTTATTTGAATTGCCAACTTTGTTTTAAAGCCTGGGGCAATTGCAAGCTTCCTCCCCTGGTGCTTTTTCTCTGCATCCCATCAGTTTTTCTTTAAAATAAATCTCTTTGAAAGAAAATCTCTTCCTACATTATTCTTTTTTTCTAGGATTAACTGGCGGCTGATGTAGCTGTCCGGGTATTTATGATTTCTCTTATAGTGTATCCTTCCTTCCGTCCTTGGACTCTTCCTGCCACTCTCAACTGGGGTATGTGCTAAGTTGAAACCAAAGGATTCCATTACTTCAGTCATTTCATGCTTTTAGAAAGTTCATGAAATGATCAACTTTACTTTTAGGCTATGATTCTCCTTTTAGTTTACATAAAACTGTGGCAGGGATCGTCAGAAGTTGCCCGCAATAATCACAAGACAGAACATCAGGAACAGAAGCAACCGGAAGGTCCAGAGTGGTGTGAGAGAGCTTTTGCTTATAACAGGAAAGTATCTGTGCTCAGAGGGGCTGGGAAATGGTTCTTTCAATCAATGCTGTGAGAGATAAGCAAGTTCCTTTTCTTTCCAATTGTTAATCATTGAAAAATAAAATTAAAAACTATTTTCTAAGATCTCACAGACTTCTTTTGGAGACAACATTTTAGGACAAATTATATTAATTTGGTTCTTATTTCCCAAAGACTTTTGATACCATCTCTGTGAATACTGTTACTAACTCCAAGAAAAAAAATGACTCAATTAAATTATGCCCAGTTTACAGGTAAGTTTGCTTAGGTATGAGATTTACTTGTCAAACTGTTAGTCAGCTTCTATTGCTGTGACAAAGTACCTAAGAATATCAACATATAAAGATGAAAGGTTTATTATGGCTCATGACTTCAGAAGCTCCAGTTCATGGAGAGTGGGCCTCATTGTTAAAGACCTGTAGCACCACAGTACATCATGGCAGGAGCATATGGCAAAGGAAGCTGCTCACCTCGTGTAGCCAGGAAGCAAAGAGAAAGAGAGAAAGGGGCTGAGGTTCAAATACCCTCTTCAAATGTACATCCCCATTGACCTAACTTTCTCCCATTAGGCCCCTCCTCTTAAAGGTTCCACCACCTCCCACAATACCATGGGCTGGTGACCAAGCCTTCAACACCTGGGTTCGAAGGAGAGGAGAACATTTCAGACCCAAACCATAGCACCAACCGAACAGGCCACTTAATCACAAATGAACTTTCGTTCTGTGTCTGCTGAGTTCTGTGCCTTCTCCACTTTTATATCTTTGCCAATCTCCCATGCTTCCTCTGCACCCCCTAATTCTGTATTTCTGTTTTCTCTCCTATAACTCCTGGAACTTTTCACATTTATCATTACAGGACGAGGAGACTGTGCACTAACTGAAGGAGAAGAAAGCAGTCATCGTTTTCATGTGCTCAAACCAAGTTTATCGTACTCTCTACATTTAAACCTCATCGAATAACTTATTCAGGTTTAAGGTACTCTGTGATCCCTATGGGGTTCTTAAAATACTTGACAAAGAAAAAATACAGATGAACCGTGATTTAAAATGATAGTTGAGGCTGCTTTGGCCCCATAGTTGTGGTTGTTTAAGAGCCCCATGTGGGAAGGAAAAGTCAAGAAACAGAAGTCTAAATTTTTATTTTAGGTTTTATTTTTGCTGCTTTTGTTGGTTTTTACCCCTGTGGACTTCTTCCATTTATTTGTTTGTTTACTTCAGTTTTTCCTGTGAACTTCTTGTGGCATCAGCAACAGCTCTGACCCTCCCCCAGGCTGGAATATTCAGGAGTCTGAACTTGGCCTTCATGGCTACTGTGTGAAGAGAACAATTCCCCCAAAGTCCTTCTTTCCTTATTCCAAGCATCCAAAACTTCATCGTGCCTTCCAGGGATTCTGTCATTTTTCAGTGTCCTTGTTTGGTTTTTCAAAGCCTCAGGGGCTTGAGACCCTGTGGTTTCAATATTTACAATCCTGTCCCCTTATTGTTATCACTGGGATGGTGCTCAAGGTCGCTCAGTTCACACATTAAGTTTCAACTTGGCCTAAAGTGGTACTGATGAGGTATAAAGACCTTCTCTCCTGCCAAACCAAGTGAGGAAGGCACGTCCTGTTGCAGGCATCATGTGGCTTATCTGCCTAGACGTCTTCTTCCATCTCAGACTTTCTCACTAGGAACTGCAATGGGAATATCTGCTTTATCAGTCTTTGATGAGATGAGAGGGAGCATGAGTGTGAGGGAGTGTAGGAAGCAGGAAGGAATGGAGAAACAACCAGACAGATACACTCTCTGGTCACCTAATTCTGATTTAAAAAAAAAAAAAAAATGGTAGTCCCATTATCCTGATTGACAGGAGAGGCCGGTTGGCTGTCAGAGGGTCCTTGGTCTGTGGTCATAATTCTCAGTCCAATCTAAGTCGATGAGAACTACCCTTGTAAATATTTCGTTCTAAAGTTAATTTGAATAACAAGTCTGGTGTGAAAATAGATCTTATCCTGTTTTTCTGCCATCAATCATTTTTCGGATTGCATCCTGGAATACTTTATATCCCGTATGATATTTATCTTTATGCCAGATAAATATCATCTGTCTAAGGAGAAGCCCTCTATATTTTTAATGACCAGTAACAATTTATCCTGGGAACTCTGTTTTCCACCACCCTAAGTACCCCAGGAAACAGCTAAGTGAATTCTCTTTTCCATCGCCAATGACTCTATTCTAGTGATGTTTTTCCAAACAGTCCCACAAACTAAGAAAAATATATCGTGAATGTTATTGAAAGTAAACTGGTTTTTGAGACAATGAAAACATTTTATTCATTTAAATTGAAGCAGAATGGCAGTGGCCTGCTTTTAATTCACATTGTCCATGAAATTGAAGCAAAGCATTCGCCTTGATTTTGCATGCTCATTGTCTCTAGTTTAAAATGGTCAACTTCAATTGCCTGGAGTTGGCTAAAGTCATTCAATCTTTGGTCTGTTTTTGACCAACAATTAAACAAGTACATGGAAATGCCATTGCTTACCATGAGGTCAGAAGTCTCGTTTAGAAAAACCATTTGCCCCATAGACTAGTTAGAGCCCCCCCAAAAAGATGTGATTTTTCTTTGATAATTGAACAATGTTGTGCTTGGGATTGGAAAAGGAGTAGAGCCAGAAAAACTCAAATTGAAAGAATCCTCATAAAATACTAGTCGGCATATGTAGTCACTTAAACTCTGGTGTGTATGTATATGCCATGATTTTCAGAATGAGCTTAATAGAGGAAAAGGATGACCGTACATGTTCCAAGTGATTTTGTAACCTGACATTGATTGTTCCAAAAATCTTTTTTAACCCCACAAAGTTAGACGTGTAAGGAAGCGAATGAAAGTATCTTAAATTTGGAGATAAAAATCTTCCTCGTGTTTTACATCAAATTCTTCAAATTAAACTGATAGCCTATGTTAAAATATCAACTTGTGCAAATAAGCACAAAATTGAAAAGTGTTCTAAATACCTCAAGAGGCTTGGGATGTGGCTCTGTGTAGAGCACATGCTTCACATGCAGGAGACCCAGGTTCAATCCTCAGCAAACAAGAACAAACCAACGACAACAATAAATACCTCAAAATAGATGTCTATACAAAAGATCCTGTGCCTCAGCAAGTAGGATGCAGAAATTTATGTCACCCAAACTAGGATTTTACAGATGTATTTCCTATATGTCCCTTGTGTTATACATGTTAGCAAAATGGTTTATTTAGAGTTTTTGTTTGTTTGTTTGTTTTGGCAGAACTGGGGATTGAACCCAGATGCATCCTACAGCTGAACTACATCCTCAGCCCCACCTCTTGCTTTTTTCCCAATTTTGAAATAGGGTCTTTTCAAGTTGCTGAGGCTAGCCTCCAACTTGAGATCCTCCTGCCTTAGCCTCTTGAGTGACTGGGAACACATACATGCACCATTGTGCCCCACAATATCAATTTTTTTAATAGATAGCTATTTGTAACTGATTTGAAGCAGCATTTACATGTGTTTTTCTTCTGTAGAAAAGGTCATCTCAAAACCATTAGACTCGATTATAAACAATTTAACTTGGATAATATTTCTTAAATCTCTTTTTTCTCTTTTAACAGAACATACAAAGTATTATTGAGTATTTATAAGTGAAACTCAATGAAGAAATCACAGTTTTTAATAGGCTTACAGTAAAAACCCCCAAAGATGTTTATATTAAGAGAATTTGCTGATCCTGGAAATAAAAAGGCAAACTTTAAAAGTCCTTACTTCAGTCTTCATTTTGAAAAACAAACAAAAAAAAAACCCAATTCAAATGGCTCTGAAAAATCAAATATTTCTTTCTAAATAACCCAAGACATTTTCAATAAGGAAATGATTTTCAATTTTCTATTAAATAGAAATCATAGGAGTGGTGTTTAAATTATGTAAAGTTCTGGATTAGTAGAGTGCAAATTAAAGAGGAATTAGAGTAAAATAAAAACAGATTGTACAAGCTTGGTCCTAGAGGTAGTTCAAAAATTCAGTAAGAAAGCGGGATTTGGGGACATGTTGTGATTACTAAGTGACTATAGGGGCAGCGACTGTCTTCTGAATTTGGAAGGGGCTAACCATCTGAGTTACCAGAGCTCCATTTCTCATAGCATCTCATATTGAAATGCCTTAGCAGTCTTTCCCCAGAATCTAGTTTGAGAAAATGAACATGAACTTCAGAGTAAAAATGCCCATCTGCACTTTCATCATGAGGGAAAGAACAGACTGATAACTGGACACATCTGATAGCCATTTACTTTAATATGAATGTTTTTGAACCTAAATGCATTTAGCATTATAGCTATTGCTCAAGGAGAAGGCTATTCTTTGGGCTGTGATGAGCTCAGAAAAAGGATACAAGGATTTCTCTGGGACTCCAAGAACTCTGGGCTATTTTTTCCCATTGTCCACTACTTTATTGTCATTTTAGCCTCCTTTATTTCTACCGTGAACCAGAGAAGCACATATCTCAGATTTAGAAGAAAAATAACACCCATGATCCCAGGCCAAGTTCTGAGCTGAGAGAGAGGCAAGACTCGTGCAAATCAAAACGCACGATTTAGAAGTAGCACAGTGATTCATATTTCCCTATAGCCAGGAATGGGCTTGATACCATTTTTCTGAATTAAATACCCACCAGAACATAAGCTTTCTGCAGACAAATGACTCTCCCAAAGGAAACAGACACCCCGGAGCTCTCCTAAACTCACAGACCACCCTAAAGTGCCTAAGAGAATGCAGGAGTATAACACAAATTCAGAGATTCTCAAATGTGCTCCAGGCTCTGGGAATCCATAAATCCTGTCCAGGAATCTGCAAAGTCACCTGTACTTTGGTAACAGTACCATGTACTCATGTTCTCACAGGAGTACAGTGGAAAGACTGGATTACACGTGCTATTGCAAGCAAAATCTGGAATCCACCCACCTCCCATTAAGCCATTCACAAATAGATTCTTAAAAATTTGAAACAATGCTACTTTTCTTATGAAATTGTTTCTATATCCTTTTTAAAAGCTTTTAGTTTTGGAAATGGTTTAAGACTCATGTAAGAGTTACCAAAACAGGATGGTGAGAATATACTCTCTCTCTCTCTCTCAACAATTCATATAACAATGATGTCATTACCAAAATGAGAAATTAACCATTGGTATGTAATTATTCTAACTCAACTACTGAATCCATGCAGATCTCACGAGTTTTTTTTTTTGTTTAATAAATATATTTATTGTGATTCAAATCCAATCCAAGATGCTGCTTTGCATTTTGTCCTATCTCTTGGGTGTTGTCAATGTGTGATAGATCATTCTTCCTTTGCCTTATATGACCTTGGCATTTTTAAAGTATAGTGATTGGATATTTTATAGAATGGCCTTCAAGTTGAGTTTGATGTTTTTTTCGTGCTTGAATTAGAGTTACGAATGTGGATGAAGAATGTCACAGAGGTGACACTGTGCCCTTCCTTGGGAATATGTAATGTCCATGTATTGCTACTGCTGATATCAAGCTTGGTACTTAATTAAGATTGTGATCACTAGATTTCCCCATAGTACATTCACTATTTTTCTTTCTATCATCAACAAATGTTTCATCTATGTAAATATTTTCTTTCTCCTTAAACTTTTGCCAACCAATTCCATCACTCTTTGGTGGGTTGCCAGAAGCAAGTATTTCTATGGTGTTCTAAATGTGGTTTTCTATTTCATTTAGCCCATCTACATTTTTAAATAATTCTGCAAATATTGTCCTCGATTTCTCACTTATCAATTTATTCTGTCATTAGTTATATTAGTATAAGTGCATGGACATTCACTTTATTCTTTGGTTATGCATGTATTATCTTTGTGTGTTTGCTCAAATTGTTCCATCTTTGACCATTAGGAGTTTTCTTTTTTTATTGGCTCATGTGCCTTTTGAGATTTTGTTACTTTCTGACACCACAAAATGTT